GTGTGGTTCCAGAACCGGCGGGCCAAGTGGCGCCGCCAGGAGAAGATGGAGCAGGCCCAGCTGCGCCTTCACGAGCAGTCCCTGGGCCTGCTACACCGGCCCGCCGGCCCCCCCGGCCCCCTCGACCACTTCTTCCCTCCGCTCCTCCCGGGCCTGCCGGGCCTGCAGGGCACCATGCCCTCCATCCACGGGGCCCTGCCCAACATGGGCAGCACTGTGCCCCCGCTGCCCGGGTTTCTCGGCCACCCGCACGCCACGTACCCGTCCTACCTCACCCCGCCCACCTCCTCGTCCATGGCCGTGGCGCCCCCGCCAGCGCCCTCCATCCCCGTCTCCACCTCCGCAGCCTTCACCACGCCTCCCCTGCCCATGTCGCCGCCCTTACCCACGCCCCTGCAGGAGCGCTCCTCCCCTCCCCTCGCGGGGCCCGAGGATGACCTTAGGTCCTCCTCCATCGTGGCCCTCAGACTACGCGCCAAGGAGCACCTCGAGAGCCTCGTCAAGACCTCGACACTCGTCTGAGTCGCGCTCAGGGTCACGTGAAGTGGCATGGAGGTCACACTATGCTGGGAAAAGGTCACACGAAGGAGACCTGTGCGTGCGAGGACAAGGTGACAGAACTGAAAACCCGGCGCAGAATGCCTGGTGTTCGACTCGAGATGAGACTGATATAGACTTAAGTGTGTGTCTGGGCAAAGCAGTGTTCATATGGTGAAATCGATGTTTATTTAAGCGTGTACAAAGTTGTAGTAGTCAGATGGTGAAATTGATCGTGAAGTAAGTGTATATATGGTAGATGAACATAATATAAAGAGCTACTCGTCTGGAACACCACGGAAAAGTTGGTAACAGTTGAGCAGCAGCAGTAGTATCTACACGACGCAGGCAGCACGATGGCATGCGGATGATATGCAGAAAGGCTCCGAGGACGCCACTAGTCAGCAAAAACTAAATATCTTTACATTTATAGCACACAGTTTGAAAGAAAATGAACGAGAAAAGGGTAATAGAAAAAGTTACACGTAAAACAAAAGACAGACGACGTGTAAAAACAATTTATTACCAATAGAAAATCATTATGTAGGGAACACTGATCCTGCAGTGGGTGAGAGAAAGACCAAGTGCGGGGGTCCTAGACAGTTTGTTACGCAGAAACTGTACGGTCAGTTCTTAGCAGTTTAAGCTTAAGTGTGTTATTATTTTACGATCTTCCCCTGTTCTGTTTCTGGACCAAATCTCACTCACGAATCCGCACGGCACAGAAAATCCCCGGCCTCTTTGTTTCTTCGAACTGCGGTTATCGATTGGGGAGTCTCTCCGGGAAATCTCTCCAAGCGGCCGCAGGAACGAAGCAATGGAAGGCTGCGGTGAGGCTGCAAAGGGCAAGGAAGCTCACCGCAGAATCGAGAGTCAGCTGCTCGGGTTCTTGCGGGTCAGAAGCACGAGAGAGGCGCGGGGCTTCATCTGCTTCAGGGACTCCTGCTTAGAGCCTGATTTTCACGTGATTCTCAAGTGCGCCTGCGATTCTTATCCTGTCTCAGGTTGAAATGGGATCCTGTGTGTGTCACGGAAACTTGGTGCATAGGGCGTAATATGTGTCGTGAACTGAAAGAATCTTTATTTGATCCATAGCAATATATGAGAATTTCGCAAAGGATAGCTGGTCTGATGAACAGTCTAATGTAAGATAAGATTTTTTTCTTTTACAGATAAAACGATCACATTGGGTAGCTAAGATATGAAGGGATAATTTCATTACCATAGGTCCTGTATTCCAGCAATGTGCTAGTAATATGAATTGCATTATACACATTATGTGGTCAACGTGCAGAATGATTGCAGTAGAAGAACCTACTGATAAAGCGAAGAGAAGACATTTCTTATGTCATTATTCTTTACACTAACGCCAATTCATCCGATAAAGCAGCAATGTCAATCACCAGAAGCTGTGTAGCAAAACAAACAGAGACGTACAGTACATAGCACGCATGGTTTCCATCCTATCATGTCTCGCACTTCCAGTTTTTAACTCTTCAACCACGGAAGACGTAGAAGGCAAAGAAAGGAGAGGAAAAAGACGGCGAAGAAGTAGTAGCAGGAGGAGGGTTGAAGGAGAAGTAGCAGAAGAAGAAATAGAAGAGAGAAAATTCATGGCATCATCTTGGTTCAAATTCGGGAGCGAAAGGATTAGCTTTCCCACCGGCTGCACGGAGGCCCGCACGCCTCCAATAGTCACCTCGGACGCCACTTTCCTTCCGGTCTGTTATGTTGTCCTGTCCCTAGCTGCAGTTTAGGCGTGTACAGTGTATAGCCCCCGTATATTTGTCTACTGAAGTACCCCCATCGCCCTGCGCCCCTTGCCTCTTCCCTCCCTGTCTCTGTTCCTCTGTGCTTTCTCTTCTTAACCAAAAACGGTGATTGTAGCTTTTGGAAATAAAATTGATGTAGTTTCCAGTGCATTTCTTATTTCCTTTTGGATCAGAAACTACCCTTTGCGAAG